AACCGGAATTTGCGAAATTTCGAAACTGTCTGGTACATGCTGCAGTGAAAAATAAAACAAAATTATGAGACCCACGATTGAATATTGAATTGACATGAGAGAAGAGTCATTAATTTATCGTACCGGATTTTGATAATTTTTGGATAATAAAATTCTCAAAGCATGGCATTAAATTTTAAAAAACACTGCGCATCGGCATTAATCCTCCGATTAGTTCTAATTGCCTATGCAGACTTGCATGACAAATATTTCAGTGTCCCTTACACCGATGTAGATTATAAAGTTTACACGGATGCGTCGCGGTTATTATTAACCGGTAAATCCCCGTATGAACGTCATACTTATCGTTACACTCCGCTATTAGCATTAATTCTCACCCCGAACATATTCCTCTACCAAAATTTTGGCAAAATATTATTCTCAATCATTGACGTAATCATTGGAATTTTGATGAAGCATATATTGATGAGAGGCCAATGCAACGATAAAGTATCAGCTATTTGTGCATTAGTCTGGCTGTACTGTCCATTAACAATCGTTATATCGACACGAGGTAATGCGGACTCTGTTGCTGTTGTTCTCGTGCTGTTGACGTTGAATTATTTGATCAGCGATAATTCATTTCTTTCGGGGATTATCCACGGTATTTCCGTGCATTTCCGACTCTATCCTATTGCATTCAGTTTAGTGATGTATCTGGGAATAGCGGATAATAATTTTTTTCCCAACGCCAGACAGATTAAACTCGTTTCCGGATGTATTTTATCGCTCGGTTTGTCCACCCTCGTTAGTTATTACTTTTATGGGTATCAATTTATCCATGAAAGTCTTATTTATCATCTGATCAGGAAAGACGCGCGACATAATTTTTCCGCATATTTTTATATGCAGTATTTGTCAATTGGACAATCGGATTTGTTATTTGAAAAATTAGTGAGGATTTTGCCACCCGTGATTATATTGATTGCCCTGTCTTTTCGATATTCCAGGAGAAAGGATCTGCCATTTGCTATGTTGACACAGGCTATGGTAATGGTCACTTATAATTCAGTCATTACGTCTCAGTACTTTTTTTGGTACTTATCCTTACTGCCGCTCTGTTTGCCGTATATTAAAATCGGGGTTACAAAGTTGGTGATATTGATCGCTGTCTGGATTGCAAGTCAGGGATTGTGGCTTCTTGATGCATATGCGCTTGAATTTGTAGGAATCAATAGCTTCCAGTCCATCTGGATCTCTAGTTTGATATTTTTCGTTGTTAACGTTAAGATTCTTGTTGAAGTTATTACTAAGTATGAAAATAAATTGGAATACCATAGTACCAAGAAAATTAAATAATAAATAGATTCAACTGAATGGTGTTGTGATTTTTATTTCAAATTCCCCAGACAGCTAAATTCATTTATTCATTTATTTAACTTTAAACAAATAATTTATAACACGTAAATGCGAATAAAAATATTAGTGATACCCCCACGAGGGAGGGATTAAATAACAAATATTTAGCAGTGTCTTTTATTTTTATTTTCAGAGGAATACAAAATACTTATGTACAGATAGTTTCATAAAGTAATAGTAATAGAATTCTTTTTGTTTTTTTTTTCTTCTCAAAGGAATGGAGAATTATCATTCATTACTGATGCAATAATAGTAAAATCTTATTCTTCACTTTTAATTCTTTATTCTAGAGTAATTGTGAGCAAAGAGCGTTTATTTCTCCCTTATTCTTTCGTTTGGATCATCTTCGGAAATGTTATTTAAGTGTAAAAAGTTGTCACACTTTCACTCGTCCATTTTTTATTACTTTATTAAATTTTATTTCAAAATGTCAGCGCTATTTACTAATTTTTTCTACTTGATAAATTCCAAATATGAACGACGAACATGAGATTTTTTTTTTCTTTCAACTTTCAAGTAACGACAGTATCAAATTGTTTCCTATTTCTCTGCAAAGATGATTTGTTATATATTTATTTATTTTCTGCAGTAATTCAACATTATTTCTTTTCCTCTTGTCGTGAGCAATTGATCACCTCTCGTCAAGCACAATAACTATTTTTTCTTACTGACACATTATTGCAATTCAATGATTTATGTAATTTGCACATTACGCTGACGCCGTTAATGGGACGTTTTCAAGTTCCATTTATGTAATTTATACAAATATAATTGAATTCACTTTACAAACAAAAATTTCTTCTACTTTCAATATATATATATATATATTTATATTCAATATATATATTTTCTTTGTATTAACAGGCACACTTTGCGTCTTTTATATTTTTCATTTGAAAATTTATTCTCTAGTTTTATGACGCGGGAATAGGTCTATCATCTTTGAATGGCGTGTGCCTCTTTTTTATTTCAGCACAATTTTTATTCTGTTACTTTAATGCAAAAACATTAAATTGACGCTAAATCGCACTCACACTCGCAATTGTTGAAAGATTGACATTAACAGACATTCACGTAGGTATTTTCTCGGTCCAGTGCAGGAATGAAGTGTTGAAACAACAAGAGCCCCTTCGATAGTTTTTTCGCAAGAATATTTTGGAATTGAATGGAAATAGTCCATTTATATCTCGATAGTCTGAGAATTTCTCTTGATTCCACAATATTCTCTACGCAGCTCCGTTTATTTTGTTCAACAATTTCACCACTGGACCTTGACATTTTTTATATAAAAAAATTATATTTCTGAAGACGATCCAATGTTTATTTACCACTCCATAACAAAAGTTCCACTCGCTGACTCGCATAAAGAGTTGTTTTAATTAATTCGTACAGTGACACACGTGATTTTGCATTATGATTTTTTTCTCTTGAATTTTTCTATGACGGCAATGAGAAGCGTATTTATAATGAAGAAACATAATGTGACTGAGAAACATTATGCCTTTCGTAAAATTTAATCTTATCAAAATGTCAATACAATTATTCGGTGTATTTAATTACACTGAGATTTCGATAATTTTCATCGACTAATGCACATTGTTTTAGTAAATTGCCACTTTGAATTTTTCATGAGTAAAGCTGAATATGACTCCTCTCTCAATAAATTCACTATGTATTATTCAACGCATCAGGCTCGTAAAAAGTGTTATGATTTTAATACTTTATTTTTTGTTTCTTATTAACTCTTTGTTTTGTTCTCTCTTTGTAAAAATACAAAAGATCATCAAATTCACTTCTATATATCTCTCATTCTTTGCACGATTGAGGAAGAGAAATGAAATATTTAATAAATGCACACAGTTAAGTTTACGAAGATAGTTTGGAATTACTTGTTTAATGGAAATACTTGATGATGCGTTATAGTGGATTATGGCAGGGGGTTTTTCAATGAAAATTAAAGAGAACTTTCCATTACGACATTATTATAAAATAAAGTGATTCATACAATTCTCATAATTGAGTTCGATACAAGACTATAAATATTAATGTAAATACATGAAAATCATAAATTAAAAATATACAAAAATCCTTACGGCGCAAGAATGGCTTCGCATAAAGTATTTTAATTAAACGTCATTATTACGGAAATAAAAGTATCTATAAAAAATTAAAGCACTTGAATCAACAGTTTCACATGTTTGTTCGTTTTCTTTTTTTTATTTTTATTGCCATTGCGTACCGAGTACACAGTTAAAATCAAAGGAAGAAAATTAATATGTATATAGTAAAAAAAAAAATTTACATTCAATAACGTAAAATAAATTTTTCTTTGGCAACAGAAACAGTATTAATCAGACAAAATCTCAATCGTCAATGACAGAAGACAAAAAAAATGCTAAAGCTATTCCTTTTAATTAAGTTAATGAATGAATTAAGTTTGTGAGGGAGATTAGAACGATGAGAACCTAGACATCAATCATCAAATATACAAATGAAGAGGGAAAAAAGTAAAAGGAATTGTTGGCACACTGATAATATTGAATACGATATGTTTGTGTGTTTATAAAATTAATAATTGATTTTTCATTCGATAGTTTTGGACGAACGGAAGATCTCGTACGAGTGATACATGAGCACCACTGCCAGAGGAAGTTTTAGTTTTCAAATGAAATTTCTTATCGAATAAAAATGTATTTTACCCTCGTAAGCAATTGCCGATTAATTTATCATTTAAAGAATTGACATGGATTACAGTTTAATGGAATAGGTTTTCCTTTCTTTTTTTTTCTAAGCAGTGGCTCTCTCGTTTTTCCATTTTTTTTTAATTCTTTGTGCATTAAAATCTTAATATCATACAGACATGAATGATTTTATTGTACAAGTTGCCGTCATAATATACCATTATTTAAAAAACTTTTCGTCGGTCTGCTATATCATCACTGATAGTCAGCATATTTACAATGCAAAACATCGGAGGGCTACTACATAGTTTATGTTACAACTTTTTCCATAATCAACGTTAAAAAAAATGTCGTATTCCCATTCAATTTTTTATTTCTTTTTGTCTCATCTCGTTATCATGTTATCGTTTCGCACTCACTGTACAATGTTAACTCTCAAGTGATTGCTGTTTTTTATAGAAAATCAATAATTTCTATGTTTCTTTAAATTACACATATCTATACGTAAATTGACATCATCCATTACGCTAGTTTGGAATTATTATTGAGTAGGCTGTTGAAGGATTAGAGAGGGAAATTTGTGTACTGGTAAAACATCAGGGAATTTACAATTTCAGAGGATAACGTGCAGCAAATTCAATTCGTAAATATGACAGAATTATTATTGGACACTTGAAAAAATTATGAATACAAAAGTTTTTAATGTTCCAAAAAATGGGCGTCCAATTATCGACCATTCATTACTCAAACATAGCAAGAAGAATTGAAAGTAAAATAAATGTTGAAAGAAATATTTTGCAGCGCGAAAAATTCATTGTATACAATTTTTCAACAGACGTTAGTTCCTAGGTGGAGAACTTTTGAATTTGTTTTAAAAATTGAACAAACAACTAATCAAGCTAGCGTTAATTTTTCAAATTGATATTCCGGACGAAACAAATAAAAAATATATATTTGGCAACATTAAAACCTCGGAAATAATAATAGAAATGGAATTCTTTGAAGTGAAAGTTGATTTGAGGCCGCGAATATGTTGAATGGTTGAAAGGATTGATTATGCAATGGAAACGTGCGGTGCACGTGGAAATTCATCAAAGAACTATGAATCCGCTCATCTGAATGTGTAATGAAGGTTGCTGAGGGAAGTGAATAGCCTTTGAGCGCCGGCATTGGGGGTACGAAAATTTTGTAATATTGAGAGGTAAGGGTGAGGCCAAGGGGGTAGAGGGTGAGGGAATTTAATTGAACAGTGCGGTTTGGAAACAAGTCATACGCATGAAATGTTTATGCTCATTCCCGCGAACGAATATTCAAGTTCATAGTTCATGTAATTTCCAGACGTGTAGACGTTGCAAAAAGGAGACTTGACGCGAAATTAATCTAATATTTACTTCCAGTTCAATGGAAGTTCAAATGAGTTTTGTGCGGTAGGAGGGAGGGGCTGAAAATAGTAGTATTAGTGACACTTTGTACTTGAGCTTTCAGCCAATATTTCCGGCTACGCCTGATTCCTAATCATTTCAAATATCAAGATAAAATCATTCGGTTGTATTTCGTTTAACCAAGAATTGATTAACAATTCGATGATAGCAATGGTGCGTTATCAAATGGAAATGAGTCTTTTCAATTTGTGATTTTAAAGGGAGGGGTTGGAATTATTAATATTTTCTATACTGTTATTGAGTGGAAAGCTTAACACCGATAAAAATATACAGTTTATATCATCTTCTATGTTGCTCAGTCAAATTTAAAATAGATTATGTTCAGTATCAATATGATATAAGTACGCAAATGTATTCGTTTTTATAAACTTTTTTTTTCCCTTTTTTTTTTCTAAAAGTCACATTTTGCCGGATGATAATTGAATGCAAGGCGTTTATACTTTAATGAAATTTTTAAAGATACTTTTCATGTTTGTTTTTTTGAGATTGACAAATGAAGAATAAATTGGGGATACTTTTGGTATAATCACTATTTGATACAAATACTAGTTTTTGAGAATAAAATTTGCAAAATATTACAATAGGCTGTTTGACGCGTATTGAAATTGAGAAATAGAATGTGTGGGTATGTTTTTGAGAAAAAAATCATGGACTTTGAAATATTTTCACCAATTGTCCCAAAGAAATTTGTTGAAAACAATTTCATAGATTAATGTCTTTCTGCTCGCGTGGAGATCGTGTCCATTATCCATTGATTAGGCGATAATGAGTCGTTTTACTCTCCTCATAAGATCAAAATATTCGTAATTAGACGCATCAGTCATCTAAATCAATTCATTAGTGATTTGTTGATAATTGAATTTCGATAAACACTTGCACTCGTTGATGTTTAATATTAAAGTGGTAAAACGTAACAAGTGATACTCGATATTTTTAACCAAATATTTTTGTTATACATTCACATTTAGAGCGTTTCGTTGACGTAAAAATGACAGATCTGGTGAATATGGCGTATGAAAAAGAAAATTCATCGTTCAAATTTTATAGAGTCAATAATACGAACGATAAAAATGTTGCACTTGTCTCTTTACGTTTTACTCACTATAGAATTCTATTTGAAAATTAATAAGTCGAGATGAAAATTAATGAATAACGGCATTGAAATAACGAATCACACCGCTAAAATTTGACATGCATGCCAGATTCATTTGAAGTTACTAAAAATTTATATAATTTAATCAATAATTGACAGATAACCGATTAAGTAATACAGGATGATCGGCGGGTTTAAGAAGGCGTAAAATTTCCTCTACTAGTCAAAACTTATATAAACTTTCTAATTTTAACATAACCGCTGATCATCCCATTCATTGATTGTTTATTTTTCTCATTACCACTTTTACCTCTCAGTATACTTTTTTGACCTACAAAGTTTCAATAAATTAGAAACATTACATTAAAGATGATGTATAATCGATCGTTGCCCCTTGGAAATGAGATGAAATTGCTGTAAAAATGACCAATAACGAATCATTTTTCAATACCTATATACATTTGTTTAATCACTTCATTCGAAATTCCAATAAGCAAAATATCCCTAGAACCTGTATTGCAAATATTTCATTTGGTACGTAGCCGAAATAAATGTGACTACGTAACTACTTTCTCTTGCAGATCACACATAATCAAACTGTCAAAAACGTATTAAATATTTAACAGTTAACGTCATCATAAACACTGTACGTAATTTTCATTAAATTTTTTTTTTCAACTAATTGCTCATCTTGCAATGATCGAAAACACAGTACAATAAAGCCCGGGACAACTCGACGAGAGGATTTGAGAAATTCGTTGAATTCCAATCGTCGAGTTCATTCGATAACTGAAATTTCATTCTATCATCATCATCATCATTATCATCATCATAATCGCTGTTTTCTTCATTAATATATAGAGTTCAAACAATTGCACTTAAATTTTGTCGCTAAGAAGGACGATATATCATTCGAAAGACACATCGTAAGCCCGAATGCACGATTTATTAATCTTTTCCTTCATCACTGACACCACATTTTAATTTCTCATTGAGAATTATTCAGGAAATAATATTCTTTCCCTCGTGAGAAATATTGAACTTGCACACATTTCATCGGAAATATTTCCACTTAAATTAGCGAGAAATGGTATTTACCAGTGACTCATAGTCTTAATACTAACTAAACTTACAAAATACGGTGAGCAATAATTTCAGTTATTTACACACATTATGGTACAGACGTAAATAGTGTAAAGAGACTTTTTTCTTCCGCAATTTTCACGAATATAAAATGGAGGATGATTTTTCATAATTATCGTTACAATCGCACAATCCCTGTTATTTATTATTTGCTCAATTCTCCAAAGGATTTCCCTTGCCTTTTTTCAATAACGCAGCCTCTCGAATTGTTTCGATAATTGAATAGGCTACCCTGTTTCGTTAAACTCTGTCAATGGTTATTTATTCCACTGTTAATTTAATGTCGCACAATCTCATCACTTCAACATTATTATTTCCATCGAATCGAACTCGAATGATTATCCCACTCTATTAATCCCCATTCAGAGAGTTCAATTCAAATTTCATTAGTAATAATAATAATAATAATATCACAACGATAAAAAAAAAGTGGTGAAATTGTGTTTCTCATAATTTAAATTCATCGATGCGATAGTCAATTCATCGAGGGCTCCGTATCTATTCTATCATTCATAAATATAGATTTGAGAATTCAGGTGAATGTAGAAAATATTTTACATTTTGCACGGGGGAAAAACTACTTATACCGACGAAAAAAATCAAATTTATGCTGCATATTGAATAATGATGCATAATGATATTCGCACGGTAAAAACAACAAGGAAAATCACATTAGAAATGTTTTTTTTTTCTCTCTCGATAGTATCTATCGTCATTATGTAGTATACATATATTACACAAAGCCTTTTCCACTCCCAAGAAAATGTGGCTCATTTCAATAAAATTATCTTTAGTGCCATCAAACTATAGGCTCTATATTCATATTGACAACAGGTTCTGTAATATAATATTCATATAATTCTAAATGATTTTTATCTATCTACGTTACAACGACAATAGAAAGCCCGCAAGCTCTCTGTCGCGTTTACTCTCCTTTTCAATTTGAAATATTTTACGAAAGGAAATGCCCATTTTCTTCAAATAGATTCAGGCCAATGGAAACTCACTTCCCTTCCATAAGAAATTGAGTATTTCACGCACCCAAATTAGGGGTTGCTCACATTAATTCAAACATCAAGGTCTTTGTCTAATAATTTTCAATAGATATCTTCATCTGCACTAAGACAAAGTTGATAATTAAACGGCTCAACTAATCGAATAGTTGAATGTCCTCAGGCAATTTTGAACGGTGCATTTACTTTAATAATATCACTATCACGAAGAACCCTTGAGTAGAGAACGAAATTCTAGAATGAATTCATCAGTTTCCTTGACAAAGAAAGATCCCCAGCTGTAGCTCAACCATTTTCTTCATCTCGTTCTATGCCATTTTACGCAATAAATTGATAGACACGTATTTTTGTACACGGTTATTTGGCCATATAACTGACACTATGGCCTGTAAAAGTGACGCTTGAAAATAACAATTTTTTACAATCTCACGAGAGCTGCACAACATTTTATACTTTTTTGCAAATTAATGCTCGGTAAAGGTGCTCAAAATTTAATACAAAATGCTGTACACTATTTTCAAACTTATAAAAAAGCTATTTTCAAGGGTCACTTTTACAGGCCATTTTGTTGGCTGGTGGTTGTAAAAAAAAAATACGTGTATAACCATTTTAATGTGTACAATAACACAACAAAACGAAGACAATGGATGAGACACACCTGATGTCTTTCCCTGTGAGTCAAAAAAAGGGCAGTGAATGTAAGTTCCAGTAGTTCATACGATTTTCTAACGTTTAATAAGTCGAAGATTGTCAATATCAAGTGGCCTCTACCAATAAAGATGATACTCCATCCGCTCAATAAATCCCAATGAAGGATAAATCGTTGTCGACCGAAAATTGAGTTGAAATCACATTCTCGTAATTTTCCACCCCAATTTTGACCCTTAGTTTCATCAACATCACTCATTATGCATTGCTGTTTAGAGCTCTGTGAGACAGGCTCACAAGATATTCCCCCAAATCTCATATTTACAATCATGAGTTTGAATTTTTTGGCCTCATGTGTCTCGGGCTTATCAAGTTCAGGAAGTTTTGCGATTATTTTAGTATTTGTCTCGTGTCGAGTGACATTAGCTGCAGTCGTGTATTGGTTTTGAGTCTTCTTAAAGCTCTCGGTTACCGTTCCATTTCATTTATTCACTTAATTCACAAAAACGGTATTTTCAATTGAGTCCACGATGGTGATCACTTGCAATATGTTATTGGTGTAATACATCAATTAGTTCGAGTGCGTCAATGCGCTTTATGTGAAAGCTCCTCCACTGTTTCACTGGTGAGCCACCGAAATTTAGCGACTTCGACATTCGACTCCAATGAGATGATGAGGATGGGGTGTGTTTACGGATGAATATGTCTTTGGAGCACTGGCAATATCATGAGCAAGGCTATCAATGGAATAGTAATCTCGTCACGAGAGATTCTACTTGAAATCCTGATCTCATACATGCGTTGCTAGTGTACCTGTGCCAGATGCACGTTTGACTGTCGCTACACCACCATTTGGACCCCCGGTTATGTAATGAGCTGATAGGGGCGCCTGCAATTAATTTTTTATTCCTGATTATTGATTTGTTTGCCCGTGGAAAATAATATGTGGTGAGTGACGGGATACATTTCATTAATTCAAGTTTCATTTCAATTTCCCAGAGTATACGATAGATATGTTCGTTAATATTTAATCTAATTTATAATTTAAATACAAAAAAACCCGCTAACTAATCGAAAAGTATTTATATTAATTTGAGAGGTCATGATTTTCATGGGATCATGAAATCATAATGTTACTCACTTTATTTTTCACGGGATTCGATTCTTCAACGGGCGAAACAATGGATTGTTCACATCTTGTAGTCCGGGGGTACCGGAAGATACGCGAAAATAGTATATTTCACGCCTAGGACGGAAAAAGGGAATCTGATGAATGCGACTTTATAGTCCGAGTCGGAGACGAGGATTATAACGCACATGAGTCAGAATCACTTTTTTCACCGTGGCTATGATGCTATTTTATGTCATTGTGGCCGAAAACGCGTTTTTATGCAAACGACGCGAGGTTAGATACGCGTTTTACCGGCCGCAATGACATAAAAATAAATTGAGGAGAGATACCACTATAACGGGATTCCACTATATTTGAAGACGCGTCGAATTCATTCGAAATCAATTAAACTAATCGAAATTAATGGAACCCTTAATTTATAAAATTCAAAAACAGTCTTGCTTCATGCATCGAAAATTATCAGATTTCAAAAATGTTGAAGATAAAAGAATAATTAAATTTTGAAGTCGCGGGGTCATTTAATCAGCCAATGAGTAGAAATTCTCGTGGATATTTGCGGAAATATTTTTTTTAGAAAGTTCTGAGAGCGACTGTAACCATTCAACTGTATTGAAAAATTTGTAAGGTCAGCTGTGGCATTTGGTTGATGATAACAAATCACTGGGGGGACTTGAAAAAAAAACATTAGATAAGGCTTGAATTACCTGTGGTCCGGCACCGTTGAGGGTGCTCAGGCTATTCATCCGCATGGCCTGAGTGTACGGGGGTGGAGCTGGTGTCACTCCCGGTATGGCCGTGTGGGGTGCGTGCCTGAGTTGCTCAGCTGCTGACATTCTGGTGATTAAAAAAGACGACAGAGATAAGAAAAGTGTTTTTAACTGATGGAATTTCTCACGAAATGCTCTCAACTCTTTATTTTTTAAAAAAAAAGCTATGAAAATGTCTCGTATACGATCATAAAAGCCAGAGAGCATGTGCTTGTGCCACGTCAAAAAGATATTTCAGCCCTCCATTACGAATACTTGCCTATCTCGTTAAATCGTCATATTAAATCAAGATGATGATGCCATTAACTAATTAAATATTTTTTTTTTTTGCAAAACGACACGAGAGACGTCCCTCAAATTTTCATTTCAAACTCTTGGTTGAACGATAATTTAGATAAAATGCAGAATTCATAAAATTCTCGGTTTAAATTTTAATCGTTTTACTTCTTCGCTGAAAAATTTTTCGTTTTCAGATATTCTCAACAGGAATTTCGTGTGATAATTCACCAGATAAATAAAAAAAAGGTATTCCTCGCGGTTTTGATTAATCAATTAATTAATCAGTCATGATTACAGATATTTCATATTTTTTTTAATGATTGAGAATGAATTTTTATATTCGTCGTTGAGTAAAAACCATTATTTTCATTTTAATTTACATTGGATATTTGAAGAGAGCTTTTGAAATACATACAACAACAGAGCGAGAGCTGAATGGATTCAATATTATCGAACTCATCAATCTAGAGAGCTCTATTCACCTGTGCTTTCCTTTCGGCTACAGTTGTTGCACCATATCGCAATAAATAAAGTATATCCGATCACTCTCAAGATGACTATAAAAATCCAAATGCAAAAATCGAATGGAATAGACGGAATAACATTTAACCCGAGCCCTTCTCAAGCCATGAATTCTCAAGGCAAATCTTGTATAAATGTTAATGCCCTCTTGCAATTTCTATAGACAATTACCTGAGGTATGGATTGCCATATGCAGCCGAGAATCTCGGATCGATTATTGATGTAGTTTGTGGTGTGGTATTTCCCAAATTGGCCGAACTCAGGCCAATTTTCTTCGATGCCAATATACCACTTGAGGGTATACGACTGAGTGATTCCCGCGATGCCCCAATTCCCTGTGTGCTGGGTGGCATGTAGTCCCTCGTATAATCGACATAGGGCACATAACCATTGTTATTACTGCCGTCCTGTTAATGTTGATAAATGAATTAGACTCACAAATCATTGAACAGTCAAAAGTCATTGATTCAGACGGGATAAATGGCTTTGCCCTAACAGGTCTGAATAAAGTCTCAGCATTAATGAAAATAATAATTATTCATCGGGAGAAAGTAATTGAAAGCAATAAATTCATTATTAAGGAAATGATGAATTGCCTCGACTACAGATACCCCTGTCTTAGGAAATATCACGGTGATTAACGATCCTACGACAAATGACGAGAATTTATTTTTAATGGTGAATTTTCGTAGCTCCAAAAATGGGTTGCTATTGCAAACGGTATTTCGTGGTAATTACAAATCCTAGAGATGACTGAATAATTAATGGCAATGTCGTACTTAACAACTAACAATAATTAATCATGGGTGTAAAACAAAAATGAGCTCTCACTTGGAAAAGTGAATGCTCTTGTAATGAGTAATGGTGTAATGAATTTTGTTGAAATAAATGATTTATCCAGAGGTATTATCTTTGAGGGTATTTGGAGTCAGGAAGCAGGGGGGAGCAAATGGAAACACCAAAGTGGTAAACAGAAAATCAGTGAATGAGATTAGTAAATCACATTTTCAGTGGAGGTGGTAGTACTTACTGTGTTCTTTGGTGGAAAAGAGGGCTCCGTGTAGTCGGCGCTGTATCGATAACCAAGTGGATTAGGCACTGGGCCAGCTAGAGCCAACGCGTTTACACCCCTTGTGCTACCTTCACCCTCGCTGTCTAGAGCGGTCACGCTTTCTGCGTTGCTCACGCTAGAACCAGCGCGTATATCTGCCTTGACGTCTGAGAGATTGCTACTGCGATCACTTTCACGGTACCGATCTGCATTTGAGTCTGTCTCTTCTGTTGAAAAATTACACCCATCAAAATTTTGTTAAGCTACGTCGATTTCATCCCACCCCAATCCCATTCCAAAATGTCATCGATATTACACAAATTTTTATCATTTTTAACATTTTTTCAATGTTTATGGCTTTTTTATTACATTTTATTACATTTTTTATTACATGATTCTACATAATTTGAATGTGATCATCTAATTGGAGAGAATGAAGTGATCGATGTCTGGAGAATATTTGAAATTTTAAATATTTTCCAGGATTTCAGAGATTTTTTAAAGAAAATCGTTGAATTGGCGAAAACTCAGGAATTTTTTGCTTCCGGATTGAAGAATTTTAATCATCGTAATTTAATTTTTGTCTTACTATCCTGTCGACGTACTGTGACTTAAAAAGACCGAAAATTCGATTTTCTAATTTCATCTCCGCTTTTATTCTCACATGCAAATATTCAATTAATTCAATTAATTTAATTAATTCAATCAAATTAATTAAATCCATGCGCCCCTTTCGCATCACTAGATAAAACCATGACTATTTATGCATTGATTTAAAAAACAGCTATCCATTTTACCCCACAGTGTTTTTCGAGTTTCGCATGTTTTATTTTACTGTAAAACAGAAAACGTTATCCTCTATTGGGAAATGTATTTTTAAAAATTCAAGGACTTTTCTCTCTCTGCACGCTCATACCCTCGGGCTTCATGACATGACTGTCTTTATCCGGAAATCAAAGGGGAATAAGTGCGATCTTTAGGGACTTCTTTTGTGAATGGAAAAAGTGGAGAGGCTTTTGTTCTCTTTTCAGAGAGAATTGTGATTGTCACTTCTTTTATGAGTGAAATTTCAAACTCCGAGAAGAAAATGTTGCAAAAATTTTCAATCGATCAGAAAACCAGTTATTTATTACTTTAGGACTGCAATTGCGTAAGGACATGAACAAGTAAAAATAAATAATATATATCAATTTTTTTTTATTGAAAAAGGCATATGCACTAGAAAAGAAAATATTACTTTAACTTTGAAGATAGCATTTTTATTATTTACTGCATAGTATTTTTGTAAATAAATTTCTTTCTGGCGGAAATTCTCGTTAGGGGACAATTCTCAGAATCGAAAAAATAAAACGCTTCGTAATTTCTATACTTACACGTGGTAATCTATCGTCTCTCGTGACGTAAAATATGATCAGTTTTTTGAATCGTAAAAAAAATTCCATTCAACAAGGCAAAAATTCATGCAGAACGTTCTGAAAAAAAAACGCGAGAGTTCCGTAAAAATTTACGAGTTACGAAAAATATATGTAATTTCCGAGAGACTAAGTACTAACTCATTCTCGAATTGAATGACACCACGAGTTTTTGAATTGTTTTATAATTCTCTTAATTTTTTAAATCTACTATTTTTCAAAGCATGAAACAAGATTATTTATAAACTTTATATTTGAAGAATGATAGGTAAAATATTATACAAAAAATGTTTTTTTTTAAATGTAATATTTCCATCGACTTCGATTAATTTAATTGATTTCGAATGAATTGTCGCGCCTTCAAATGCGGTAGAATCTCGTTACAGTCGCACCTCTCCTCAATTTATTTTTTCGCGAGTCTTTCGGTACCTCTGGACAACAAGATGTGAACAATCCATTGTTCCTTCCGTTGAGGAATTGAATTCCGTGGAAAATGAACCCAAAAAATAGATTTCCCCCGCATACGAATTTGCTACAAAAAAAATTCACTTTACGAGCACGTGGTGGGGGCAGTGGCACCTATTCGGATTCTCTGAATTCGCCTCCCCTACAGCCCCTTGCACGCAACTATAACAGGACTGTACTGTAATTTCGATGTGACTGCGTAATGATTTGGTCATAGAATGACGCCCTGATTCCTGAAGTGAGTGCAGCAATTTTCATGGAATATTTCTCTACCTGCATATTTATAGTTTCAACAGAAAACTAGTCATCTCCATGTCCATAAATTCAGGAAGTACAAAACACGACTCCGATGTGTGAAAGCAGGAAGGAATACAGAAAAAGTAATAATGAAAGAGGGAATTAACTCAGGATGTCATTATTCTGCCGGATATGAGCTGATTTGATTTTCCAATAATTTGTAGCGCCATCCCCGTCATTTAACATTCCAACTTTGGCCATCTTTCGCCATCTTCTACCGCATTAAAAATAATCTCCGCGTTGCACTTGATGGATGGAATTCAGTTCGCACTGTTTCCCGACTGGAATATCGGCGAATTGAATAAATCCGCCTAGGTACTAGATTTCGAAAAGGAAATAAAAGATGGTGCAGCGATTTTAGCCCAGTAAAACCTTTCATGACTTCTTAAATTCCCCTGGAGTGATGGAATCTAATGGATTTGATTAACTGAAATTGTTAATATTGAACTCGTTTATAATGGAATTCTATCTACTTGATATTCTATATCATTTATTCAATTGGATTGTCATCGTGAAATTGAATAAATGTTTGACTTAAGGTCAATCTTTGGAATCCTCATAAATAGAAATAAATCAAGGAGTGGTACGATGAAATTCAAATGGTGAAGCCGTTCACTTCATGGTATCACATCACGAGGGAAATCGTTGGTAAGTTTATTTCCATCGCTGAGGAGCGAATATTTAATGACTTGTTGGGCATTATCGAACACGTTTGAAACTGGAAAATCAGGTAAATTATGAACAAATACGGAAAGGAGAAAAATCACCGATTTCCGGGCGGTTGCCATGGTTTTTTTTTACTCGTGTGGAATTGGTGTTCGCGCTGAAGGTGAGCACTGGTCAACCGGGCCAATAAAAAAACCTCGGTGCAACAGTTTGGACAATACATTCCCGATTTCAAAGGTTTTCAGTTTGCGAACTATGCAATGGACTAATGATGGACAATCGTAAATGCAATATACTAATGATGGCCGAAACGAGAGGTACATTGCTCTCAATCTGTGCAACACCTGTGTACCTACTTATGCTAATAAATTAACTATATATTTTTTAATGGATAATATTTATCCCTCATCACACCGAGAAAAATTCACGAAAAACGATATGACAATTCCGTAAACTCCGTGGGATAAACTACTATTTTTCTATAGTTCAGAAATTCATAATGGTATGGATGCGGTCTCTGAAATCGGTCTGTATAACGTGAGAACGGATATTTCTAGCGCGCATTCAATCGATTTAGAGGATTATTATTTCAGTTATCGTATCGAGACTGAATCGGCTACAGACACACATACCTACACACAGGGTACTCTAAAAACCTGCTATTCAGATTCCCCAGACCTGAATTAGTGCTAATAGGAAAAATTATGAAAATTGTGAGGAAAAAAAAATACTTTCAAAAATCCTATGCACAGGTAAAGATTCCGTCAACAAACTGAAATTAATGGAAATTAAATGTCATAGGAAATATTTACGAATCGAAGTGAACGACTGTATAATATCGAGGAAGATCTTGGAATAGATTTTAGTCTCAGGGTGTTGGTATTTAATAATATAGAGAAAAAAAATTGGAACTTTTACTTACGATACTTACGCATGTCGTTCTCGGCAGTCTGGGCTGATCTGATTCGTGGCTGTTTGATTCGATCACGACAGTGTAAAATCAAAACTATGATGATGCCAATGAGTATGAGACAGACCACCAGTCCAACAATTATCAGGATGAGTTGCCAATCGACTGGAATCAACGCTGAGCGTCATGTCTGGTTTAATTTCATGTTTTCGACTCAAGAGAAAATTATGAATAACAGTAGCATCATCAGGGCCAAAGAGATGTACATTGAACAGCTTCAATTTTGAAATTGAAATCGGAAAGCTTGATAAATTTTTATTAAGTGATTCGACCATATTTTTACGACACGTCCTGCTGAGTATATCAATTCAATTCGCTGTAGCAAACGCTTTTACTTTGATGATATCATTTTTTTGAGAGACTTTCCCGAAGTTTCCGAAAGGACACTCCAATAATTCAACGTTAAATAAATGGTGATGATCATTTTTCGTGGCAAAATGGCGATTCTTCATGAAAACTGATATATATGTCTTCCAATAACTTTTACAGTTCTTTTGAGAATGAAATGGAATACTGTGCAAAGAATCTTCTGCAATATTGAACATTGAAAATCGTTGACGATTTAATATTAAATATTTCCATTTTCCTCGATTTTTAATTGAAATCATAATGCCAGTGAGCTGATGAATAATTCTGATAAATGGATGATCAAACTTTAATGGAGTGGAAATGGGTTTCTTTATGAAATTAATTCCTCTAATGATTTATGATTATTAATAAATCATCGGATGAGAGTTATATACATTCACCCGAATCGATAAACTTCTTCCTCAAACGACCCAACGGATTATGCAATCTCCCAATCTATAATTTCCGATTGACTAAACTCTTTGCATAATAGAATTTGAGTTAACGAGGAAATCATCAACTGGTGTAAAATCCTGTGAATGTGGAAATATTTCTGGCATGCCAACTACTCTACACATAATCAAACAGACTCATCGGAGTTGTCTAAATTCAGCTTACCATGAGTCGTAAGTTTAATAATGACTGAGTCTGTACCAAAACTATTGGTAACAGTACAATTGTAATCCCCAAAGTACGTCGATATAGGTTCTAAAAGGGTAACAGTGCTGACAACTCTCTCTGGTGTATACTCCTCCTGTACGTAGAACGGCGTATTGTTTGATGAGAAATTTAGCTCACGACCAGCAAAACTCCACACAACGGAATCAGCTTTTGGCACTGATATCGCAGTACATTTGACCTGGAAAGATCCCAGAAAAAAAAAAACCAAGCATTAAAAAAGGAAAAAAGAAATGAAACACATGAAATGACAAAATCATTATCATCAAATGCGGGTCGTATAACTGGTTATCGACGTTAACAATCTAGATAACCCTTTGTTCCTGTCCTCTCATTCCTCCAGTTCTGTTCTGTTTCGCTTTTCCACTCTGATACAACTGCCAGCAGAGATGGGTTAAAATTGAGACCAAAATTGTTCAGTTTCATGTATTTACGTTTTGGATGTGTACGTGCCACTGGGTTTTGTAAACCTCTGAGTTGGAAAACCTACACATAAAGCGCTGGTGATTTCTGAAACGAGTGGCCCAGTTTGTCCAGTGCCCAGTCACATTTTACGGTGGATATTTGTACGTAGATATAACGCTCTGTATGAGTCGAAAAGGAAGATGAAAAAAAAAAATATATAGCAAAGATTGTCGCAGGGATCGATTCTCCCTTCTTTTATCTACTTTTCCATTTTGATTTGTTTCGTTGTTTCATTTCCTACTTTCACGATTGTTCCTCCGCAGACTGGAGGAGGAACGAATGGGGTGATATGAAATAGTGGAACGTCGATTCATTGTTTATTTTACCTTGACTACACCCTCATCCGGCACATACTGGGTCCTTTGTGATACAATGCTCGGTGGTGCACGAATGAAGATGTTGGCGTATCCAGTCAATTCTTGAAATCCAGCCACATGTGCTTTGCAGTAGTAACGTCCAGATGTATCGGGACTCACTGCTACACTTATATTTGGACTAGTTGCCACTATCCTGTCTGAATCCTCGTGGATCCACAGGATCTCTGGTGTTGGATTACCATCAACATCGCATTGAAGAATCTCCGTTGCACCGTAATGCGTTTCCACGGATACCGGAGGATGACGGAATTGGGGGCCATCTGAAATCAAATTAACATTAAAGATTCTCTAAGAAGTAGACGTCAATTGATTAAAGTCTGAAATTAAAGTCTGAAATTAAAATGATAGTCGTACCATTCATCAATTCATTTTTCCGGTATCTTTTCGTTTCCTGATTTTACTAACTCTGGGCTACAAGAGGAAAATAATCCATTGTTTCGTTCGGTGAGGATATGAATTTCGTGAAAAATTAAATCGAATGTTAAATGCCTCTCGTATTCGAATTTGCTATTAAGAATATCGGTTTACGGTCGCAGGGGTGTGGGTGGGGGTAGTTGCATGTAGTCGGATTCTTCGAATTCGCTTCCCCTACAGCCCCATGCACGCGAGTGTAATGAGTCTCTACTGTATGTAATTTTTCAGATGGTAATTTATAAACAAAAATAACAATGCTATAAGCAACAAATTGTTCACTCGTTACATTTCTATTTATCCGATAATTGTTGTAATTACTTGGAAAATTGAATGGGCCATTACCATGATTTTCTTTTTATTTAGTTATAAAAATCATATTTCTCCGGGTGGAGAGAGCAGGGGGGAGGGGAGGGTCCAGACATCGAATATTTAATTATTAATGGATATTGAAGAATTCATTTTCGAGATTCATGAAGTGCGAGATATTTGATATAATCATGAAGTTTTATCGGTTTAACGATTTCAGGGAATTGAATTGAAACATCAAAAATTAAGAATTTTCTGCATGCCATAAATTAATCAGCTTTCGAGAACTTTTTTCTTATTAAAAGTAAAGAACAATTGAGAATTGATGACACACAATTCTCATTTGAATCGATTCATTGAATTTTTCGAGGATGAAAGGATCAGTTCATTTTATTCATTCAATTTAATTCAATTTAATGAAAGATAATCGATTAATTGAAGTCAAAATAATACAGGGGATTGAATAAAGACATTTTCCTTCGACAATTGAATTAACAATATACCTGGACTATAATTACTCTATTTAAATTAAACGTGTTCAAGATGACGAGTATATAGAGGTGTGTAATAATAATTCCATTTCTGTGCATTCGCAATATCGGAAGGGATATTTTTCAGTTTCTTAAGATTTCTCATTGTTCCGTTGATATACGATTATGAACTTTCCCATAATAGGATAAAAAAAAATCGAAAAAGTGGATTGGCCATACGTGATGAAGGTTGAAAAAAGAAAATAATAAAGAATTTCTATCCTCCCATTCACTTCGCCTCGTTCGGGGATTAGTATTCACTCTCCCTGACCTCGTAAAAGTCCCATGGGGTTTTTTCCCCGTGCGATTGGCACACCTCGCCTTCAGCAAGGTTATCAAACCTCGAACCCGTAAAAAACCCTATGACGCTCGTCCGTAAATGGACTCTTTTAGGCTTGGTAATAATGAAAACACCCCAATAAAATCGGAATTTCCAAAGAACGGGAAAAAAGAACAATGACTCAAATGATTGCAATATAGTTCTTCACCAGTAGTCGGAGTACCGAACGAAAAAAACCATCGAAATTTCAGTGACAGGGTTTCGTAATCCTGATCTATCAAATATATATATGTCACAGGGGATAACAATGGAAGACGAGTCGAAGTATATAGGCAGAAGTATATAATACTTACAAGTTATATCCAGGGTTTCTGTTTCCTCGCTTTTGCCGACCTCGTTGTGAACTTCACATTTTACGATGGCATCGTGTAGCTCCCGGGTGGCATTATGGATTATCATCTCTGTCGTATAGTCACCTATTACCGTTTTCTCGTTTATGTACCACCTGTACAGAATAATATTGGAAAACATTGTTATGTATGAATATGTGTGAATGCTTCGGACATAATAAAACAGAGGGAGTAAAAATAATCGTAACATCGGTTCCAATTTGTTTATTCTCTGAAAACCTATTTGAATAGCTTTAATGAGTACGTATTAATCGTAACGAATTAGTTGACAAGGTGGGGGGCTCGAACATTTGCTTCGGAAATGAAAAAAAAAAAATTGTTGTATTAACGTATCATGTTTGCCATTAAAGTTATAAAATCTGGATATTTCGATAATCAATTGCCAGCGGAAAATCGCGTGTCCCATTGATTTTATCATGATTCAATTTACTTCTGAAACGAACAACGAAATTAGTTAGGCGTTGAGAGAAAAATCAGTTAATGCCTTTTGTCAATTATATTATATTTTACAGATGAATCCTTTAAAAAAATTCAAGGAAAAAATTGTTATAAATACTAATTAGTTGGAATTCAATAAGAAATAAATGAAGGATTCTATCTGAAATGAGCGCAAGAGAATATTTCGGATAGAATCCTCAATTTATTTCTCATATATATTTTTCTGGGATATATATGCATTGCGTATGTACCAGGAATATTGCTTTGCGGTCATTTCGTCAGTTTCTTCATCGCAGGAGTTCTTCAGGTCTAGGTTCAGTTCAGGAGAGGAATATTATTAAATTTTAATGGAGTGATTGATTTAACAAGTCGTGTTATGTTTTATAATAACTTTCTTGAATTAGAAATTGGGACAAACGAATTGAAGGTTTAATGAGAAAATGGTATAAAAATGAAATCACCATTTGGACTGGTAATTTTTTCCTCGTTAAGGTGAAATTAATTTGTTCGAAACGATTCCATTAAAAAATAATATAGACGCTGGTGAATTAAATGGGGGAGAAAATGATGATTTTTTAACGGAATAATATTCAGTTAATGAATTCAGTTTCGTTTTTACACTCACCTGTACTCCATCTCTGGTGGATTAGCCTCAGCACGGCATCTGAATCTCAGTTCCGAGCCCTCGACGATTCGTCTATTTTTGGATAAACCCGAACGGATTTTAAGCGAAACTTTTGGGGCATAACGGACCTAAAAAGATAAATTAGATGAGATTAAATCGTGCCGCTGTGTAATTCACAGATACGGAAATAATCCACGAGTTTTGGACATCCGTGGGGATCAATACGGAAGACGACTTTTAGAAGTGTACGTTCCATAATACTGAACCAATATCCTTCTCAAAAGTGTAATCCGCAAACTTTGAAGACTTCTGGGTTCGCGAAAAAAGTCCACCACACTGGAGCCAATTCCAGTCGTTAGATCAAATATTACTCCACGAAAATACGGATTTTATCATTTTTTCATCCCAACAATTGCAGCGTATTGATAAAATATTGTAAAAAAAAATTGATGTTCTCGTGTTCCGGAAAAATCAATCAACTCTGATCGATTCTCAGTGAGTGAGTGATTGAAAATTTTATGATAATGTGATATTATCACACGTTCAATGGTATCTTCACGGAGAATAGTCGAAGCAAATAATATTTATCACGGAATAAGAGAATATTTTATAGGAGATAGATAAAAAATAGATTTACAATAGTAAATTGGATTACCTCCACTCTAATTCTAACATTCTGGGGTGAGCGATCAGCTGCATTTTGGCTTTGGCAGGTGAAGGTTGTATTATCATGCTCCTTCCTTGGCATAACTTTCAGCACTGATTTAACGGTGAACAATGGCCCATCCTCGTACTTTTCAATTGACGTCTCAATACCCGAGTGTAAAACATTACCCAGTCCATCAATCCACGTGATCTGAAAGAGAAGAAGAGAGGATAAAATAAAGTTGCCGGTGGCGTTGTTTGTTATACAGTCGTCCGGTGGGATTTTCCAAGTTTTCAATGCTGAAGAACTCAACCGGTGGCTGAACATTATATTTACATGTGTACTTTGTCTTCTGATAATGGAATCTGGGCCATTCACGTGGTTTTCCAAATAGAAATAATATTAAATAATATTTTGTTATCACACTGTGGATTTAATTCTATTTAATTTTTGTATTTGATAATTAATAGAGGCTTGTTATTAATTTTTAATACCTCGCAATGAGCAGTTTTAAGATCCTTTTATTTGCTTGGTTTTTTGTATTGTACCGATGCAGTCGGTATCTTGTGGAATAAAGCCTCGGCTTTAACTTGGGAAATTGCGATTATGAATTCAGGGGAAATCTTCTAATGGTTTTTTTTTCGTAGTTGAGGGGTGGAAGATGATAATAATAATGATTTCATGAATTCAATCCGGTCGGAAATGATACGGGTGGAAATCCTGAAATCCTGAAATCCTGCACCCGTGCGGTGAGAGAAAAATCTTAGGGAACTTTTTGCATAAACTCGGTATACCTCGCCTAGGAAAGCTGCTTGCAAAAAATGTAAAGTAAAACCTGCTAAAATATTCTCATGCCTCTTCTTTCAAAAAAGTATGAAAGCTGATCATGCGCCGTTTGCTGCACGATTTTCCGATATTGATGACTGTTTCGGAGGGAAATTGATTGGGAAATAATTATTTTTAAAATATTGCAATCATCTATTAATCATCATGAGATTTGGTAATGATGTAAACAGTTGAATTGATTTTATTATATATATGGAAATAGTTTAAATTCAATATTCACTGAGCGGAAAATGGGAAATTTTTAGGACAATGGAAATATAGTTGAGATAATCTTGGAGATGCACCGTAATTACTCTAAAACTTTATAAATTCAATTTGTTAGGATGACGGACAGTTCCATTAACAAAGATAAAAAGCAACTACACGGAAAGAAAAATCGATCTGAAATCAGAAAACTTTTTTATACTGCGAAAAACATTATATACATTTCAGATTAATATATACACAATACATACATATTCAGACATAATGTCTGAGGAAAACTGAGAAACTTAAATTTGAAGGAATGCAAGCTTTCACTTGAAAGAAAAACAATCGTAAAAAGTTGAAGAACGATCCCATTTGCAAAATCACAGGAAATGAATTTTGTACGGATAAATTACCGGTCATTATATCCCTTGCATTATAATGCAAACGGAAAAGGGAAAAATTAGTTGAACGTCTCGAGTTAAGGTAATTGGAAAAATGATTTTTTTTATTGATCTCTCTCGTTGTTATTCTTGGAGCCAGATGGACGTACTTCCGCACCGGTCAACAGGTCGAATTCAATTTCGTCTCCCCACTCAATTTCCAAACTAATAAAGAAGTTCTTGTGGCTGCTTCCAATTCGGCCAACTTTTATCCGCCCGATGCCGTATACATTTCTCACCCGAGTGAAAACAGCCACGTAGAGTTTGACACCTCTCCACCAAGGGTAATTCTGATGAGTAAGTTTACGGAAGTTTACGAAAATAAATGGAAAACAAAGGCATTGGCTTTTGGAAAATAAATTGGAAGAATATTCTGACATGAGCACTAATTGACATAAAAATTCATAAGCAAGACTCTCGTATGCCAAAAATATCATGAAAACTCCTATTCCTTTTCCCTAATCAATTAATTATCGAATTATTCATACGAGCTGGAGTACGAAGACGAGAATAAATGGAAAAAAAGGGAGAATATGATTACTTCATTTGAAACATGACGAATTTATGTAGCTCAATGAATGATAAAGGCAAAGCTATTTCGATTATATAAAAGAGGGATGAAATTCATCTCCACTGCAATAACAAAGATAGATGTAAATCTATTAGTTTTTCATCAATCGATTATTTCATGTTTTATGTATTTTCGTGTTATGCGGGACTAGACGATAATATTTGTTTTTTATTAAAAGTGCATTTGAATCGACGGGTGTGTTTACTCGTGTAGTATGCATTTTTCCAGGGACAATGCTGATATAAATTTATTGATAATATTTGCATTAGTTTCAATCAATTCCACTTATGTGGGTTAATTCAAATCCCGAGTGTTTATATAAAGCCATTTTTTTTATACAATGAAACCATCGTCAGCATTAATGTCTCTCATTAATGTTCACACGTAATTGTTTATTGTTGAAGATATCGGAATTGTTTAGTTACAACAGCTGATTGCAAATAGAATTTTCTAAATTGAAAATTGAAATAAACCATGGGACGGCATCAGAGGGGATCAGAATTGTAAACTAAAAAAATTTGTTGAGAAAATTGAAGTTAGAGTTAGACCACGGATTTATTAGAGTTGTAATTAATTCGGAGTTAATGAGATTGTAGTTTGAATTGATTTTGGAAATTATGATGATGCGTCAAATCGAGTGAGAGTTTATGGCGAACTTTTTAAATAAATAGACCGATAATTAATTTGAATTAACCAGTTTGACATCGTCATCATCAAAATGTGATGACTTCTTCACCTTGTCACGTGGGAATGAACTTAGCAAAGTTGAATGGAACTTGTCGGTTTAGGGTTGCGACTTAACTTCAGAAACATGAAATTGGAAACACATGTGAAAGTTTCAGAGAAATTTCAGTCAAATCGTTTCACATGCCAAAAAGTTCTTGAAGGATATTCTTGGAAGTGTCGGTTTTAACAACGAAGACAGATCATTGATCGAGATCAAGAACAAACTCGCGGTGGGGAGAGAATAAATTTTAATATTTCAGTACATGGAGAGAGAATTTTTGTGTGTTTTTTCTTTCTTGAGGAAATTGAAAATCCTGACAATCTTCTTTGTCGGAGTAAAAATTGCAAGTCCTCTATTGATTGTCCTAGTTTTTGTTTTTTGAGGACGCGGAAGGCATTTCGATACTCGGAGAAATTTCTTCTTCAAAGAATTTTAGAAAACTTTTACAGTCCATACGGTGCATTTTCAATCTTAGAGCATTCGATTTTTAGCATAAATCAGTTGTCCAATGGGAGGGGGTAAAAATGACTGACCAGTAACTTTCTTCGCACGCTAGCTTTTGTATATTCGATTGAAATCTTTACTGTGCTGTAATTTAAAAATAATGAGATTGATCTTTTAAGAATGCGTGATTGTATTTTAGCCAGTATGCAATGGATTTGGATTATTTTTCTTCTCCTCTATAAAAGCCACCATAAAAAGCTTTTATGTCTCGTTCACGGTGGGAGATACGGCGATTCCTCTCGGTTTTTTCCCTCTGTGTATCGACAATAGAAATGAGAAAACGGTGAACAATTCAAGTTACGCATGAGTTGTTGAATTTGATCTCTTCGTTCTTCAAGTTCGTTCAGAGTCTTTTGACGAACCAAAGAGATTCTTTAATCAAGTTTAAATTTCTCTAATGAGGTACGTACGTCCTTGATTCTATCGAGAAGGAAACTTTCGTCAATTGGGGGATAAGAGCAAAAGGACGAGGAAAATCAATTCTAGGTGAAGTAGGGAACAACAGGAGATAAGTTGGAAAATGTCATATCAACTATTCTACGAACATCTTTGAACCAGTCATGTTAGACGAAAGTTTCAAAACATTTCCCAAGTTCATCTGTAATGTCGACAATCACAATAAAAACTAACTGAAATAATATGGTGATATCTGTTGGAATATTTGAGTATAGTTCTTTCATTGTCCTACAAAATTTACTTGACACCATCCTAAACATTCTGGAAAAACAGCTCTACTAAGGGACTAATTTACGATCGGTTGTACTTCGAACCCGAGACTGATTTAATCCTAAACATATGCTGAAATCTTAACAAAGGACTGTGTCCCTTTGAGTCATAAAATTGTTTTTCAGTTTATTCTTTTCCCTGAGAGAGTTCTTCCCTTTTAAATAGTTTTTAGTCTCTGGACAACGGTCCTCAAGTTAAGACGTGCCTTCCTCGTGCTAATAAAGAATATTTTATAAAATATTTCACTGTGTCTTCGGTTTTATTTGTTCACTTACACCCATATTCCAATAATATAATTTCTATAATTGAATTTAATATTATTTTTGGATCGATTGAAAAATAAAAATTTAATTTTCAATCAACGCACCTATTTATTGGTAATTCAAAAATGAGATTGTTTTTCAAATGAAAAATAATAGTTATTATCAAAGATATTTTATAAACGAATATATCTATGTATCATATATATGTATTATATAAAATAATGAGAGATGTTTGGGGTAGCAGCCAGATTACGGAGTGGAGGCAAAAAAAAATTAAGACGACAGGTTTGTTTTCGAGGAATAATTACCGAAAGTTCATAAACCCATATAATTAATAATAGTTACGGGGGATAATATAGAGTTATATTTTAGCTGTGTATGAAACACAACGGTAACAATCATGTGAGACTATACACTGTCGTAAGATTGTGCTTTAATCTCGGTTGTTTTACAGCGCATAAACTTTTTACAGGGACTGTCGCCCGATAACAACCTTAAGCGATTGCTCAAGTATTTCATAACATTTTTGCTCCGGTTATCGTGGAAAAATGGATTTTTGAAAAGGTCAGGAATTTGAGGGATCGGTGGATTAATTGAATTTTAATTAATACCGACGACTAGAGTTCAATTATATGACATTTGAAAGATTTAGGTAAACAAATATAAATGTACGTACACGGTTTATAAAGGGTATTTTTTTTGGGGAATAATATTGGGTGTATCTTAAATTAAAAATGATGCCATTGAGAAGCAAGAATCAATTTTTTTAAGATATCGCTTAAACATTAAAAAAATTTACGTAAACAAATATAAATATACGTACACGGTTTATAAATGTATTTTTGGGTATTTTTGGGCTTGAATAATATTGCATTTATGTAAAATAAAAAATGATTCCACTAAAAAGCAAGAATCAATTTTTTTAAGATATCGCTTAAACATAA